AAAAAATTGAAGAACATTTCAACCCCACAGCAAAGCTTAAATGCTTCACATATCAATGCAATGGGTAGCAGGAAAAAAAAAGTGTCCAACTTGCAAATTTGGAGCATGAGAATATTTTTAAGACTATTTCATATTCTGTAAGTGTATATTTTATATAATTAGAAAAAAACTGGCTATGCTCTTAAAATATAAAAGTGAATCTGTGAAAATTAAATGTTTCCACTACATTCAGAAAAGGGCACATTTGAAGGAAAGTTCAAAGAAAAGTAATTATCTCTCTCCAAGGATGAAAGTCCTAGAACACACAGATTTTTATTATTATGAATATCTTCTGAGCTCCCCCTTCCCCCAAAAAAATCTCCATTACAGGGAAGTCAACTTTTAAATTTTCCTTATTACAAAAATTTTAATACTACAGCTGTTTAAAATGTTTGTTACTATTTCTTTCTTTAGTGTGTTAGGGGAAGATTGTACACATGCTGCACTGCACTGGAGGCCAAAGACAAAGTGGAGTCAATTCTTTCTTGCCACCATGATTCAAGTCATCGGGCTTTGCGTAAGTGACTTTATCCACCGAGCCATCTCAACTGGCCCTAGAGTCTCGCCCTCTCTGCCATCATAAGCAATTTCTAACATAATATAAGAAATTAAACAGTTCAGGGATAATCTCAGTCATGCACACATATTCACTATAACAGTACCCAGGGTATAGACAAACAGAAGAAAATGGAAACACAGTGGCAGGGGTGTACTTACCTAATCCTTTAGGTGTAATGCCACTGCTGTCAGCAGGATTAATGACCCAGTAGTAATATTTTAATGTGTGCATTAGCTGTAATACTGTTCCTACTCTGCGTATGGTAGTATAGATGGTAGCAGTTCCAATAAATTCAGCAGACAAATAAGTATATAGGGAAAGTTGAACCTAATACATAGTTAAAATAAATTTAAAATGTCTTGAGTGCTTCTTAAATATAAATTCAATTGTAATTCAAATGCAAATTCATAAAAACAAAATATTACAATTTATTATGTGTTATAAATAACTTTTGTTTACATTTTTAAAAGAAATAATCACATCAACATCCTAATAAAACTGTTTCGAAAAGTAATGCATATGACCCAATTAACAAAGGTAATACATCTAATAAAGATAAGTTATTGACAAGTAATTATATATGCTATATAATCTAATTGAAGCTAATCTCATGGATAATGAAAGCATTTAACAGTGGCTAGACTCTAAGGAAAGCTGCTAAGGAACACTCAGTCATAGCTCCTTGTGTATACTTTTCCTCACAGGAACTGAACAGTCATCAGTCACCTGCAGCACACCAGAAAAAAAAACAGGCTGCTATCACACATGCCAAAATACTGAACAGCTTCTTACATACTGTCACTGTATAGAGTTGGCTTTTAGAATTTAGCCATGTAAGTATAAGATGGCAAGTCAGGTGCATTGATGAAAAGAGTGAACAAAATATCAGCTTCGGATTTAGTGCAATAAATGATGAGATGAGCTATAGGAAAATCAGGATTTAAATATTACATATCGAGGAGTATGGGAGATTTACAAACTATAAAAGACAACTCTAAATCAGAATATCCTCATTATAGATTTCAATTAGGATATAATAAGTTCAATTATGTGGCATAAGACTTCTGTGTTCATTTCTAGAAAAATAGCTGGTTTCTCTTTATTCTGATTTTAAAATACTAGTTGTATGTTATGATAAAAAAATACCTAAGTTCAAAATGAAAATAATTTCTCAGTCCAAATGATTAGTGATAATGAAAATTTCACATGTGTTCTTTCACAGTCTTTAAAAAATATACAAGATTCTCTTTGTTGACAATGTATGAAATCGTATCAAATAACATCAGAACTTAGTATTATACCACGTTTACTGACTATAATCTCATTTATTATATTTACATATTCAAATTTTTGACTCTGATACTAATAAAACTTTTTTAGACTGACTATAAAGTGTACAAAAAATTGTGAATGTTTCCTGTTGGATACTTTAAATCCAATTAACTATATCATTAACTATACTTTATATATTACACTAAAATAAGATGAGTGAAGCTGAAATTCAGACCTTTGCAGGCGTATGTATCCAGATGGCTGGGTTAAATAAAATGTGGTCACAAAGCTGCTTCAGTAAAGGTGCTCCATGAGATAAACCATCAAGGTATTTTGCAAAGGATAAAAACTGCTCCAGCACAGCTCTAGTTATGTGAACTCTTGATGACTAAAAAGAAACAGAGATTCTAACTAAAAAAAATCTTGATATCAAATGATATAACAACATCTATATGAATCATTCATGTTAACTCCAATAGTTTAAATTCAAATTACAAAATTTCATAGTCTTTTTTAGTAAAACTGTAAACATACAAAGTATTTTTTGATATTCCTTTGAGTGACAGCTTGTTATTGATATAAATCCCTTTCTAGGATTACAGATAAATAACTCAAATTAAATAAAGTTACTCTTAATTTAAGCTGAAGTAAATTATGAATAAGAATCACAAAAATGGCAAGATAGACTCTTACAAAATTTATAGTATAAGGTGACAATATTCAAAACTCAAATTATTTTTCTGAAGCCAAAATATCCCTGTGAGCAAATTTTCTCCCTAGGGCACAAGTCTGCTTCCCTCCCCTACTGTTTTTTCATGATGGCCCCTTTCAACCTCTAGCAAACACTTTGCACACCATTTCATTTGTTGTAAAGGTACAGCTTGAGACTTTTAATTTAGTCATTAGAAAAGATATATGATGAGTATTTACTAATTTCCAGGCACTGTCCTTGGCACTGTGGAAAAAGCAATGAACACAACTGGAAGAAACTGGGGGGAGGGGCAGCTCCCAGAACTTAAGGCAAAGTGAGGAGAAAGCAGACAAGGTATGTCACACATGAGAGATTTATTAGTAAGTGGGAGGAAAGGAAGAAAGAAAGGAAAGGGGAAACGGGAAGAGGAAAGGAAAGGCCCTGGTGTACAGAGAGATTCTGTGGAAGGAAACTTAAAGCTTTCATTGAGAAGGGGCATTTGATAGATTGAAATTCAAATAATGCTAACAGTTACTTTATCTTTTCTTTCTTTCTTTGTTTTTTTGGGGGGGTCTTTTGTGACAGGGTCTCCTTGTAGCCCCAGTAGTATGTAGACCAGGCTATGGTCTACGCTATGTAGACCAGGTTGTCCTTTAAATCACAGACATCCACCTGCCTCTACCTCCCAAGTGCTGAGATTAAAGGTATGTGTCACCACGACCCAGCCTAACAGTCATTTTCTATCAATAGAATTGGGTTTGACAAAAACAACAACAGTATCCACATATAAGAGAGAACTCATAACAAAATGATCCAAATGGCAAACAGCCATTACTAAAGTCTGTGAAGGGCACAAAAAGTAATAAAGGGAGCTGGATATCATCAGTGTACACTCTATACATGTATTGAAAATAGCACACTAAAACCCCATTAACATGATTAATACATGTTAAAGATAAAATGACATCTATAAAATCTCACTGGATTTATAATTTAAATTAATATTATCTTCAAAAACTAAAAAGGAAAGTTCGAATATTAAATCAAAGGCTATCAAAATAAGGCAGGTGTAGTGGCACATGTTTATAATCATAGTACTTGAGAGGTAGACAAAAGAGAATTCAAAATCATCTTTGGCTACATAGCAAGTTTAAATGGGCTTAAACTTAAACCCACTGGGCTTATTGAAACCATATCTCAACACAAATATAAAAGAGTAACACAAATATAACAATGGTGCTTAGATGAGCATATCCAATAAAATTCAAATATTAGAGCATATGAAAGTTATATAAGAGATAGGGAAAATGGTCCTAACAAATAGCTGGCTTAGAAGATGAAGGAAGGGACCAGGATATTTCATGTTAAAAAAAAAAGTAAAGATTATTCATATAAAAAAGTACTTCAATAAAAAGATTACAAAACATAAAATTCTAAACATTCTAAAATTCTACTACAGTTAAAGTTCCTTTACTTGTTATAACTCACTTGTTATAATTTTAAATAATTTTTCTTTTACATATTCTATTTTTACATAGTGGTAATAATTTCAATAATATGATCTAATACATTCTACTTGTGTTTTTAAAACTCAAAACAGGCCTGGTGTGGTGGTACCAACTTCATCCCAGCCCTCCAGAGGCAGAGGCAGAGGCAGGCAGATCTCTGTGAGACTGAGGCTAGCCTGGTCTACATAGTGACTTCCAAGCAGGCTGGGACTAGGGAGACCCTGTTCACAAAAATGAAAAACAAACAAAAACCCTCCAAAGCAAAATACAGCTGGACGTTGCTCCTAGGTAAATATTCTTAAAAATTATCTGTACTGTGTTTATAAAGAAGACTAAGCTCCAATACCAAGCAAGTCTACAATGATGAACATATTTATTTGATGACATAATTACACTTTGGGAGCAGGTTTTGAACTTACTTGATGCTATGAAAGGCATACTAAAAACATCACATGAGGCTTCCACATTACTAAAAGAATAAATAATAGGAATTTGTTGCCTTTCACAATTCTTAATGCTACTGGAGAGTAGTTTTCAGCTCCAAACTTGATTTTTATAAAATTTTATTCCCAAATTAATGTCTTTTAAATGGCTACTCAAAGTCCTACTATACTGAATTTTCTCTCCAGTAACATCATTTTACCTGTTAGTAATTATTCCTTTTTTTCTGTGCTATTCCAAGTAAATCACATTATCTTTCTTTCCCAGTAAAAGTAAGCAAACTGTCTCAGATCTTTTATGTTCCAGTCCCTTCTGTAATTCCTCAGTAAATATTTAATTATATTCATGTTAAATTAAAAAAGACAACAAGAACAGAAAAGATAAAATGAGACATAATTAAGAAAAGATAAAAGATAGCCAAATGCTCTTAAAGGGTTTAAATCAATTTACTGCAGAAAACTTTTTTTTCTATTTTTCTATTTTTTTGGCCACATGTCTCTTTCTGATGAATTGACCATTACATTAATTTCTGAAATGGCCAACAGGTCACAGAAAGACATTTCTTTAGGCCTCTCCTTGAAACCAACAGCTTCGGCCAACTGTTTGCCTTGATTCAGGGCCAATATATGTTTTCATTTATGTATATAAAAATATAAAAGAGATTTAGGGAATGGGGATTTAGGTCAGTGGTACAGTGTTTCCCTGGCATGTATGAGGCCATGGGCATTGAATCCTCAACACTGAAAATCAAAACAAAACAACCACTTTCTGATTGGATTTAAGGCCTGCTCCACAAGATGAAGCACATACATGTCACCATAACTGGGACCAAGAACCTGTGCTCAGATAAGTCACAGGCTACATGGGAAGACCAACTACTGTAATTCTGCTAAATGGCACAGAATTAAACTGACTCCTATTGACTTACTGTTATCTCCACAGAGTGAATCTCTCATGAGATAACCATCTAGCAGCAGATGGTGACCAAAATAGAGACTCGCAACTGGTCAATGTGCAAAGAATAAAAACTATAGACTGCTGAGCCTTAAATGGGATACCTATACTACACCCTTTCTTCTGAAGGCTCAGGGATCATGGCAAAAGAGGGAGCAGAAAAATTGCAAGAGTTAGAAGTGGTAGATGAATACAAGGAAACTATATTGTGTATACACAATAGGACAGTTGCACATATGAACCCACAGGGCTTGTGATACTATGTACAAGACCTGCAAAAGCCCAAGCCAAAAAAAAAAAACACACACACACACACAGCATGGATTGGGCGCAGGAGGCAAGAACCTGTAGCCCTACCTGGCAATTGATAGCTGTTGGGAGAGAGAAAGTCAGGTTTCCTTACAGGTGTGATGCTAGGTAAGTTAAGGCTTCAGTGGGTGAACTCACACCAAAGAGCATTTGAGAATCACAAATTAGAATCCATAGGCTTAAAAAAAAACTGAGTACATAAAGTCAGAGGAGCTGGGGAGGGGGTATGAATATGATAAAAATACATTCTATGAAATTCTCAAAGACATAATAGAAGTATTTTTAAAGAGATTTATACTTGGCCATTTATAGTTATAAATCTTTAAAACTTAGGTAGAAGTACAATGTGAACATGATAGAAATTGTAAATTTTGAAACATGAACTATATAAGATGATAAAATACGTAACTTTTCATTTGTTTTTTACTACTTTGACATTTTCCTACATGTACATAATGTATTTTACTCCTTCTTACCCCGTCACCCTGTCTTATTTCCCCTCCTTCTCACATTGAAATCCTTCTTCCAAACAAGATTGGGGAGACTGCTCTGAAACAATGACCATAAAATGGCCAATGCACACAAGAAAACATATTTTTTAAGTGCTTGAAGCAAATTATAATGCACATATGTAATCCCAGAACTCTGAAGGCTGAAGCAGGGGAATGGTGAGTTCTAGACCAGCCTGCATTATAGAGTGAGACCTTAATTTAAACGGAGATTATAACACATAATTAAAGAGGTAAACATATTTCGATATGAAATACAAGAAGTTATAGCAATGACTCCAAAAGTAACTAAGCAACAAATAGCAGCAATGAATGTTGTTAGGAAAAACTTAGGTTCAAAAAGGGGAGAATTTCCCAACTTCAGCAGCATATAATGTAGTAGGTTAGCAGAATTTTATTGCAAAAACTATTCTATATATAAAAGCATGCATGATTATGTAGTAAATAAGAGGTGAGAAATTATTTTACTTGGTAAAGGTATATCATGAAATGAGTAATTCTTAGTATCAATTCTGCTTACCCAAAAGGCCAAGGATGAGATCCAACATAGTAAAAATAATATTAATCATTTGTTGTTGGGGGGAGGGGCATATGACAACAATTGATTTCTGAGATTCAGCATCAATTTTCATTAAAACAAGTGTATATGCAAAAGAAGGCAAGACCTAAACTGATCAATCAAATCAAAGGGAAGAATCTTGTTCTATTGGGAGAAAGGAAATGTATCTGGATGTGAAGGTCTGTAGCATTAAGACTCCCTGGCAACTGACATATAACCACAAAAGACAGTAATTGTAGTAAAAAGTCAACACTGGAGAGAGTAGAGCAGACACACATATAAACTTGGTTATGGTTACCACTCCTGAGGCTCAGATAACCGAAGCCTAAAGCCCAATTCGTTCTCCCATGGCTCTCCAACCCTCCCTATCCTATCACTTGTTTGGAACTCTTTCTTGCATGCTGTTTCCAGCTCAAAGTTTAACTAGTTGGAAACATCCACAGAAATTTAATGGACAGAAAAATATGATGCTCGGATATTGTTGTGTAGATTCATACAGTGTATTACCTTACTGAAAAACCACAATCCAGTCAGACACAACAGTCTTCTCTTTGAGTTACACTAAACATTCATTCCCTTCACTCTTCAGACCTGGTCAAGTTCCCTTAACATTACTTACAACTCACTCTTAAAATAGCCATGTGCTAAATTCTCATCAATAACTCAGGTTGAGTGCAGCCTTAGTTTCCTACCAAGATGAAGACTGATAGGCCACTGCCATCATTTGGATGTGAAATATGGCCTGGCTCACGTATCAAGAGCCTAGTCCCTAGTTGGGAGCACTATGTTAACAGGTGGTCCAAGAAAAGGTGCCTAGCTAGAGAAACTGGGGCACTGCGGGCATACCTTTCAAAGATATACCTTGTCCCTGTCCCAGTCTCAGCATTTCTCTGTCTGCTTCCTGTCTACCAGATGAACAGCTTAGTTCAAACTACATGTTTCCCACCATAAAGTTCGGACACGCTTCTTTGTGCAAGAGCAATAGAGCCAGCAACCATGGACTGAGAAACCTCTGAAACCATGAAGCCAAATTAATATTTCTTCATTTGGATTGTTTCTCTCAGGCATTTGTCACAGTAAAAACAAACTCTCTGGGGGCTGGAGAAGTGGCTGGCTCAGGGAATAAGAGCATTGCTGTTCTTACAAAAGACCCAGGTTTGACTCCCAACACCTATATGACAACAACACTGTCCTCTTCCGACCTTTGTAGGCACTACACACACACCAATGAACAAAAATGCTTGTACCAAAATCAACTATCACAAACTCCAATTATATAGGCTCATATACATATATATATATATATCAATTTTGAAGCTTCTTATAATTAAATTTTCAAAGAGCTGAAAATATCTTATTAATAATACACTGGAATATCTCTTAGGTTTTCTTCATTCTTAACATTTCAGTGACATAAAACTATCTTATAATTTTTCATGACATAATATACATTTAAATAAGAAAACCTCTCATTAAATTATCTTCCTTAGAAATTCTATTAGTTAGTTTTTTTTCAGAGTTGTGACCAAATACCTTACAAAAAACAAATTACGGGGCAAAGATTTATTCTGGGCCACACTTCAGTCCATCCTAAGTTTGCTGTTCATACTGTTTCACTGTCAGGAAGCAGAGCAGGGTGAGTACTGTGCTCACCAGGCTGTTTCATTTGCCTTGTTCCTTTTGGTACCATCTACCTTTAGGATAGGTCTTCCCTCATCAGTTAAACCTCTTTTACAGCATTTTCACAGATAGGCCTAGATAGGCCTTTAAAAGTAAACTGCCTAGGTAAGTTTTAAATCCAGCCAAGGTGACAATGATTATGCAAGATGTCTTATACTTTCTATGACAAGGAGACAGAAGCTGGGTTCTTGCTGTTAACAAGTATGAAATTAAGACTGGAATTTCCATTAACCTATTCCACTAACTGGCTATTAACTCCTTAAAAATCTAACAATGTAAAGCAATTTTCAGAAGTATCTTTTCAAGTAACCAGAGAAGCATTAATTTGTTCAAGTAACAAACCCTATTGAGGCAGACATTTTTCTAGATGTTAAAAATATAACAATAAACTAGAACATGGCAGCTAACAAGTGTTGATAACTCCAGTCCCAGGGGATCCGACAGCCTCTTCTGACCTCCACAGGCATTGCACATCGGTGCACTTACCTACATGCAGGCAATACACATAAAATAAAAATAATAAATAAAATTAAAAAATAGATATAAAACAATAAAGTAGAATAAAAATATAGTCCCTGCTTTCATAAGCCCACATTTGTGAAAGAAATATAAACTATATCATACAAGAAGTATAAAAAATAACAGAGGATTGGAGAGATGACTCAGCAGTTAAGAGCACTGGGTGCTCTTGAAGAGGACCAGGGTATTATTCCCAGGACCCACATGGCAGCTAACACCCTTGTATTAACTCCAGTTCTTGGGGATCTAATGTCCTCTCCTGGCCTCTGTGGGCATTGCATGTACTTGTGCGAGCACATATATATACATATATATATATACATACATATATATATGTGTGTGTGTATGTATGTATGTATGTATGTATGTATGTATGCAGACAAGGTCTCCATACTCTTAAATAAAAATAAATAAATAAAACTGGTGCACCCACTATGGAAATTAGTGTGGAGACACCACAAAAAGGTAGAAATTGATCTACCATATGACCTAGCCAAACTTCGCTTCATCATATTCCCAAGAGACTCTCTACCCTACCACAGAAATACCTATTCATCTCCATGTTCATTGCTGCCCTTTTCATAATCGCCAGAAACAACCTAGATGTCCATCAACTGATGAACAGATAATGAAGCTCCTAAAAAAAAAATTATGAAATTGGCAGGTAATGTCCTCTTGTTCAGGGAGGACATGGAGACCCCACAAGATGGACTTGAACCAGGGTCCAGTCTACAAAGAGGTGGTTCAACTCAGAAGAAACATCTCATTCATGCTTCCAAGTGAAGCCAGACATGGTGATCAGAACCTTTGACTTATCTTCACGTAGATGGAACTGGTAAAAGAAAGGAGCCAGGGGCTCCTCCTAAATCCATGTGACCCCTGAGGAAGAGATCATCCAATGACCTCAAGATAAAAAATAAATTGGTTTTTATGAGCCAACTCTATCATCTTAAACACCCAAAAGAAAAGTATAACCAAAGACTGAAGTGATTGACATATTTCTTTAAGAGTTCAAGGGATCACACTTCCCAGACATTAGGTTTGAGGCTACATAAAAAGTTATTTAGACAATTAGTTCTCATTGATGATTTTG